TCCCCCCCCCCTCCTGAGTGATTTCATTAGCACAGCGTCTTGAGCATATTAAACAAATGTTTACACTCAGTTACTTTAGTTAATTGCCTTGGAAGAAAGTATTAATCTTCGTTAATTCTAGCACCGCCATTTTTGACTTGCCCATTCTAAGCTTAAATGCACTCAAATAATTGGTCCTTATTAATCATTGGGAAAATTATAGTCTAGAATTTTTTCCGTTTGAATTCAAATAGCACGTTGTTTGATATTTTATTTCTTGATAAGAATATTTTAAACCTGATCGTCATTGACCGTTAAGAAGGATATTTGACGAACTATACATTAAGGCAATTTCTAAATATAGCCTCTAATTTTACACCTTCAAAATAAGTAAAATAGTCTCTTTTTAGGATATCGACGCTATTTACTTTCAAAAATTATTTAAGAACTTCCTATTGTCAACCATTTCCAATTTCTCCCAGTCATTAGTACTGATTTGCTTTCACGAACTTCAATATCGTTTCACGTTTTAATATTAGAAGTGGAGGATTAGTAGCCGGTCCCAATTAAGTGGGAAACGAGGAGTGGGCCAAAATGAAGTAATCAATGGTACACCAGGACATCAGTATTCTTACCTTATTTTAAATCTAGAAAAATTGGGAGTTACTAATATTCGGAAAGAAACCATTGTCAGTATGTAATGTTTTTTGTTCTCGAAAGCTTTAGGTTTCCCAGTGAATAGTTATAATCCTGGTAGAATTAAAATATTTATTTATTGTTAACTATTTGTGTTCTTTTTAGAGTAAGTGAATTGCTTGTATTGCTTCAAGCCTCTGATGATTTCCGTAATGCCTAAAAACGAAATTCTTCGGTTTCGCTATAACGCACGAAAATATCCGAGAGCTTCCTTACGAAAGTGGGGGTTCTTTGAGGATGAATATTTGAATGACGTTCTATTAAATCTACAACTACTGCTTCTTGTACTGACTCTTAAAAAGTGGCTTCTCTTCCCCATGGTACTTTTTACTGCAACTCATTGATAAAGTGAAGTTTGATAAAACCCTTCCCAGAATACGTAAAGAAGTCGAATCTTATGCGTAATTCAGCTCTCATTAATTACGTGTCTACGACTTCGTGTCTTATGCGCAAAATGTCTTCATTCATACCTCAATTTGCTTAAGCTGTGGCACTGCCGAGTCGTTTTCTCAAACGGAAACTATCTTCCCTTTGTCCATGCTTTCGAGGTTGGCATTTTCCTCATCAATGTTCTTGCAGACAGAATTAGTAAAAAATAGTGCCGAAAGGTTGGTAACAAGAAAGGTTGTTGCCAAAAAGCGCCCTTTCCCAAATCCTCCACCAAGGTCAAGTTTACTAAATTTATTGGGGCAGTGCGGCCACTTTCGAACAAAACCTTAACTTATCGATCGACATTTGTGGATGACAAATCTAAAAAACTCAAGAAAGCTGTTTTGTTGGACCTGTTTCTCCCCTTAAAGAAACGGTACTAAAATTTGTTGGACAAGATGCAGGCGAAGCTACACTTATCACTATTGATTTTACGTGCTCTCGAGCATTTCTCGACTCTTCATTAACCATAGTGTTGCTTGGCTCATCCGAGCAATCTCCCCTCTAATCCTGATTAATCGTATTCTGAATGGTCTAAGGTTGTTCATCAGAAATGTTGGCCATTTCTCCTCTTTTCGGTTTGAAGATTTTTGTTGTGGTCTAGACATTCCCTTTTTACACTCAATAGTCTAGGTGAATACCTTACTGACGATGTGAAAGGTTCATTCTCGTGTCGCAAGGGGAGGCGACAGTGGGAAGGACTCTTTCTATTTTATAATTTAAGTTCCCAAAATCCGAAGACGCAGTTTGATCTACCGTCCGACAGTTACACCGGAAGCTTCGGAAAACTTCGAAAGAGACTTTAGGCTGATCAAAGACTCAGACATATGCACGAGCATTTTCCCCTCTAGGGACTGAATAGAAATGAAAATTTCTTTTTAAAACTTTAACAACTTCATTGTAATTTATCATAACTATTGTATATTTTTTAATTGTTCTAAATTGTTTGGTAATTTCTTTCGCTACTTTTCAGAATTTTAAATAATTCACTGAAGTTTTTCTATTAAATTTAGTAAATTCGGAAGTTAATAAGTCTATAACTCACAGTTTAATCATGGAATCCTGGACTACTATTCTGAGTATTAAGGTTTTTCCCTAATGCTCGGTAACAGTTTCCATTTCAATCTTCATTAGAATCAGTTTTAGAAAGAATTTCTCTTATTGTTTTTCTCTTATTTCACGAAATACTTAATTTTAAGTTTTTGTAATCTGAAGTCAGTAGGACAGTAGGAACATTGCTCTCCACTTTTCTCGTCAAATCCTTCCAATTTGCCTTCATTGTTCTGTCTCTTCCACAGCAAAAACCTGCGCTTTAAATACTCGTCGTAGAAATGCCAATTTTTAAAATAACCTCTCCTTTCCGTGTATGTGAGGTCTTTACTAATTCGTGCCATCATTCGTTTATGTGCTGTCATTCACTTTTGTGATACCTGTTTCCTTCTCAGTTTCCCTAAAATATACAGTTGTTACGCTCAATTATCTACGTGACAATGTTGAGAATATTAGAATTCAAGCATAGACCACTTTTCATAATCTTTGATAAAAAAGTCCGCTGTTAACTATTTATCCCAAATCCGCCTTACAAGACATAAATGAGCTGAATTAGATTTAAACTCTTGCTCCACAGTAAGAGAAACTCCAGATTAGTCCTTGGAGTTGTCGTAAAGCTCTGTAGCATAAAATTCGACATATGGTCATATGCACCAGTATTCAATTTCGAGTTTATTTTTGTGGCAAAGTATCATTAATTGCGTTTCAACATTGGGATTTGCTGGTGTATCACATTTAACTCCATCCTACTTAGACTCTGCATCGTCACTGATCCCCAAATGCTGTTACGCACACGCACGCACGCACGCATACAAGAGGGGGCGGTTCGGTCTCTCATTAATTATTATGCCCTGCACTGAGCCATAAAATACGCCTGAAAGTGGCAACAACAGTTCGACGCCATTGCTTTGCGTTTTTGCTTAGTACATGCGTGGTTTATGGTGATGGGCTCTGTACACCTCTACGTCCCCACGCTACCTTCTACGTAATGTCTGGTTTTACTATCCTAGAAGCATGATGGCATTTATGCATAGCGTTGCCGTTAAAGAGGGTTCCTTAAGGTAATAATCGCATCACAAGAGGTGAGGAACTTTGTTACTGTGCGGTTATATACTTTTAATACTTGTCTAATTTATCTCTCATAGTATTGTATTTCGGCATGATTAAATCGGATAAACAAATAATTGACAACTGAAACAAGACACAGGCGGACTCATGTGGGGATCTTCTCATACATCTAGAATCTGGGTTAATCTGGATACACGCTGCAGGGGTTCACGATTTGAATTTCCTCAATGATCAAAACTTATTTTCCAATTCACTTAAGGTCATTCCATTTCCTTTCCATTACCTAACTTTAGTGCATTTGGGAGAATTTATTTAATTTTTAGGAAAATTTTTTAATGCAAAATGGAATTCAGAGTGCCTTAATTCGAAGTTAATTATTCACTTCTATTTTCCTTGGAGTTTCTTATCTGAGCTAAATGATTGACAGCAACTTTCCTCTTTTCTCCCTCTCCACTGAATGGATGCCACTCTCTCCCATGGGATTTCATTTTGACCAGCCTCGGCTTTCAGTTTGCACACACACACTTCCGGGTTCTTTTTCCGCATCCTCTCACCGTTTCGATTGGAATCTTTTTCTTCCATTTCTTTGTGGATAAACTTTAAAATGAAGTTACTTTGCTGGATTCTCATTGGCTAAATATAGTAGATTCCTCTTATGCTACTGCTATTCTTATTTAAAAAAGGGGAAACAATTTGATGGATTTGATCATAGTGGCTGCTTGAACTTTAAGGTAGTGAAGAGGGTGTAAGGCTAATTCTTGAATCTAGATCATAGCTAAACTAAATTCAAATGCGTCCTTTTTCCCTTTTCGGTCCCTTGCAAACCTTTCTTCAAATCCTCCTCCCTTCCTTGTTTCTGAGTTTCAAATATTGTAACTTTTGTCTAAACTACCAAAATGGAAGTATTTGGGCAATCT